AAGAAAGGTCTAGCAGGATCTGCTGATGGGGGAGATGCAGAGGGGAGGGTGGAAACTCATGTGAAGCATTAATACTGACATAGACCAACTGAGGCAATTGGCCTGGCACTTGCCTACAGTGACAAACATATTTATTTCTGATCTAATTGGAATGGTAAGGAAAACATTACTTACTATTCAGGATAAAGGAAATGTACTTCAGCAGCTTTTAGGGGTATTTTCAGTATCAATGTGCAGTCCCAGGCCCAAAGAGCATCAGCCTCACTGAAAGCAAAGTGGTGACAGCGGCTAGTCCAGCAAATGGAAACCTTCTGACTCTCCCACTTCACCCACTGTCTAAATGCATGCAGCTCCATCCTGGATGTGATTTTCCCTCATTTTTAAAATCAATTTGTGATGTATACTATCAAAGTCTATGTCAGCATTTATTGCCCATCCCATTGTCCTCCTTGAGAAAGTGATGGTGAGTTGCCTTCTGGGACTTGCAGTCCTTGTGGTGTAGGATCACCCACAATGCTGTTAGGGAGGAGTTCCAGGATTTTGACTCATTGACAACGAAGGAACAGCCAATATGAAGGAGCATGATATTCAAATCCCAGTGATTTCAGTGACTCCATTAGATCTTCATGTGAAGGTCATTTTGAGACTTCTGTCTGCAAACCTTCCTTTCTAACATCCTGTTAATGAGAATGGTGTGTGATATGGAGGGGAGCATGCAGGTGGTAACAGTCCCATGTAACTGCTGCACTTGTTCTTTTGGATGGTAGAAGTTGTAGGCCTGTCTAGCAGCTCAAATATTGCAGATTAACCGCAGATCCAAGTCCTATGATCATTTGTGAACGTTCTTATGCTTCCACAGACTGGATGACTGAGTGAATCCGATGACTGAGTGAATCCAATGACTGAGTGAATCCTTTCCCACATTCAGAACGGATAAACAGCTACTGCCAGTATGAACCTGGTGGTGTTTCTGTAGTGTAGATGAACCTCTGAACTGCTTCCCACACTCGGAGCAGGTGAATGGCCTCTCTCCACTGGCAGCACGCTGCTGTTTCCGCAGAGCAGATGAATCAGGGAATCCGTTCCCACACTCAGAACAGGTGAACGGTCTTTCCCTGCTGTGACTGTGTCGATGAAACTCCAGCGTTGACAGGGAATGAAATCCTTTCCCATGGTCCTCACCTTTCCATGGTTTCTCCATTTCATGTGCAGCTTTGTGTCTCTGTAAGTTTTACAGTCAGTTGAATCCTTGTCCACCCAGAAACACTGGCATGGTCTCTTCCTACTGTGAACGGTGCAATGTTTCTTCAGGCTGGGAGATTGGATGAAGGTATTCAGTTCACTAGAAAACTCTCACTTCGGTGTGTATGCCTCAGTACTTTTCCAGACAAACTGATGTTTCAAATATTTTGAAGCAGATAGAACAGACAAATATTCTGGATCTATGGTTTCAAGCCAAGGATATTCAAGTGCCAGTTATTCACGTGATGGTCGTTTTGAGATTGTTGGGTAAATCTTGCCTTTTTAACATGATGTAAAAAGAGATATAAAATTCATCACGATTAGATGAGAAATTCGGTGAGAAATTCAGAACAGCCAAATCTAAGTGATCACCACTTCTTTTCCTGGACTCTCTCCCAGACTTCACTTCCTTTCCTTTCGGTCGCTGCAAGTAAATAATTTAACACCAGAATTTAAAAAAAAGAAATTGGGAAAAATTGCTTGCACACAGGTGATGGACAGAGGAAGAATTTAAGTTCAGCTCAATCTTCTTTCAGACAGTGCAGCAGCAACAGTTTCGCTGGACTGTCCCGCATTTGTGCTCAGACAATAGGGGAGCTCTAATTAGCTGGAGGTCAAGCTTGCTTCCAGTCCTCTGGAGGTCAAGCTTGCTTCCAGTGCTCCAGCTCTTTCTGTTAGTCACATTACAGAATTATGACGCAATTGGAGTGGAACACGGATCCACGTGGGGAAGGAGCTGCCATGACCCCATGACGATTGAAACCTTCTGCCAATAGAAAAAGAGGGTGTTGTGATCACGAACCAATCATTTAACGAGACATGTTCCCGTCCCAAAAAAAATACCCTGAACACGTGCGAATCCCGGTTTCCCACCCACGTGGAGCCTGCCACATGACCCGCATCGACAGGGATTGCGGGAGTTGTAGTCCCCATGAAGCCTCTGGAGCTCTGTCTCTTGAAGGTAGATGAAAAGAGTGGAGCGGAGGGTGGTTGGAACAGGATCCCCATCCAGACACACAGGATATGTGGGCCGTCACTGATTTTACCGAGACACCCTGCTTAGCCAAAACGTTTTCTGATATCAGTCATAAAGACTTAGGGTTGGAGCAAGTTACTGTAGATGCTGGAATCAGTACTGAAAATACAAAGTGCTGGAGATCACAGCAGGTCAGTCAGCATCCGTGGAGCGAAAGCAAGCTAACGTATCGAGTCTAGATAACTCTTCAACAGAGCTAAAGTGATGTGTGAAGGAGTGGGTGGGCTGGAGTTTGAGGGGTTGGTGTGCCAGGGGAGAAAGGATGTTGATAGTTCAGATCAAGCCCCAGAGGGAATGATCTCTTCTGGACTTAATATTGAGTTCAACACCTTCAAATCATGAACCCATTCATAGAACATAGAACATAGAACATTACATCGGCCCTCGATGTTGCGCTGACCTGTGAAACCAATCTGAAGCCCATCTAACCTAAACTATTCCATT